ATCCGAAAACCAATTTCTTGTCTTTTGAAGCCACATTTAATAACTCATAAACGTGATTATGTTTAACTAACTGATATTAACAACTAAGAATGAAGCAATTAAATATCTGGGTCACAAAATGTTTATTTATAAAAACCAACTGTGTTTACAACAATTGCAGAGAGTAATTAAAATGCAGAGACTTCAAAACAAGCTATCCTATAATAGTAGTATAGAACAGACCACGTGTCACTGAGAAGATGGTTATGCTAGTTTTTGCTTGCGTTCCCCGCGGTCGTGACGCCCCAGGTGGACAGGAAAATGAAATGGAATCCGTTAACTACTCTGTGATCTCGTGCCAACCATTTTGTCGAACAAATTTTTAATGACGTCACTCACGTCGGACATTTTAAATAGTAAATTATTATCGACACAAACATACCTATAGGTAGGTATACCAACGTCATAGCTGACGAAATTTGTTTCTAAAATTAACTGTTACTAATTACAAAGTCTTTGTAGTGGTTTTACTTGCAATTACCATAACACAGTAAATTGAATTTTCCTTAGAAATGCTCTGGAGCGGGACATGCTGCTGAAATGAAATTAGGATAAATAATTTAACGCTGTATTCGATTTATAATAATTTGCAGACAAATTCCGGCCATTTGGTAGTAAGTCCTACTATGTAACCAAATTAGAGTACATATTCACATCGTGGCTCCTTATACGTAAAGACTAGTAGTCAGTGGAGGCGAAAATGGAAATCATGTACCTACGCAGGATTTGTCAAACGTGCGTTGGCATAGCAAATGACTTAATATTATTATTATTATAATCACGCCTAAAGTTCAAACATAGTCTTGATAATCCACGCAGTTGAATAACAAGAGAAAATTACATTAAGATTCAACGCTTTGTTAGCGAGAACCATTTTGTAAATAAGATAAAAACGTTCGTTAAGTACTTGCCTATCTCATAAATTCATCAAAAAATCTCACGACAAAGTATTATATTGCTTATTAACAATGCCAACTGAACAAGTTGGCAACATGCCAGCATCGTCGACAGTTTATCTTGACATTTCATTGCAATGTCAAAAATATGTCAAATTCAATACATGACTATTTAGTTCCATATTTTACCGCTTGCCGTAGTGAATTGGTTATAGCAGTAGGTTTCTGTAGCGTAATTTGTTTGCTGATAAAAATAAACGATTTAACCGTAAAAAAGAAATTTTGCTGAGTCGTGACAAATTTTCTATCAATATTTAACGTGTTTTTCGTCAATGAGCATATGTTTGAGTTTTTTAGCGTATTGCTGGTAAATCGTAATATGTGTTTTTAAAGGTTGGCACACATTTTACGGTCGTAACGATCTCTGGTTCTCTCTGCGTAATTACGAGCGCTTTCATATTACCTAATATTGTCACAGTCAAACATCGCTGCTGTTTGCTTAAAACGTTATCATTAATTACAGCACCTACGTACACAATACGTGGGCTCAGGCAGAATAAATCTTAGAACTTTGAAAAATCACTTGGCAAAAGGAAACAACGTTTTTTGCGTCTTTATAAAGGGCTTTGGCATAAAAATGTCCCTTTTAATGAAGCTTATACAATTTTTTTATAATAGCCGAACCCCGTGTACTATAATTATCCATTCTATTCTAAATCTAAATAACCTTAGTTAGAGCATTGGGCCCACAGTTATTAGGAACCTAAGCTGACAAGGTCTTCATTTCCTTAATAGACTTAAAGTAGGAACAGTATGCAATTTGTGCTAACAACGGAAGTCTTATAAAGATCGTTATCCGGTAATTCTGCTAAAAGTATAATTGGGATATTTGTTACATCGGCATACATGTAGTTTTGTGAATGGTCTTTGTTACATGGTCACCACCAAATACAATAACTTAAAAACAGTCTCATTCTAATTGGGTAGTTTCCTAGGTCAAAAATAAATTAATTCGACGTTTCAATACAATAAAATATTGAAAAATAACTATACTTTTCATCGATCGACCGATACACTAAATTTTAGATATTTTTTAGCTAATTTTTAAAAAATAAGTCGTCTTTTTGACGCAAAAATACTATGACGTCATAACTCAGTTTTTCATACAAATTTCATGATAAAAGTATTGAATTTGACTAGTTGGAAACTACCGTATTGCATAGGATTCCTCACGTAACAGGCACGATAAGGATATCTGAAGATTATAATATATGACGCTACCTTACTTAAAAACAGAGCAAGGAACCCAGGGTTACGGGTCAAGCGCGATAATGTGCTGCAGCCCCGACCTGGATCAGGAGAAGGAACGGGGTCGATTTAAGTCAGTATACCTAGTCAGTAGAAGTCTGACACTCACTCATCCCACACAAGTTGAAGGAAGTCAACTGATGATATTCCCCGCGCAAAAAATAGAGACTAGAATAGTAAAATCAGTAATACCTACTAGAGAACGGTCATATCAAAATGTATTTGTTGTTAGGATCAGCTCACAGCAAATGAGCCCATATAAAATTACAAGTACATAACATGTAAATAAAATCGATATCTCGTATCGTATTCCAACGTAACCGATCCTCGCAACAAGAATTGATTACGATAACTCTGACACCAATACACAAGTGAATAATCGAAACGAATTAAACAATTTGTAATTAATACTTTTGTAATTTGCGAGAAATTGTCGATTACTGCAAGATGTGGGTAATAAGTTTTATGTGTTAATGACATATTTCCTTTTATTTTACGCCATAGACTGGTATGACAATTACATTTCTATAAACAAATTCTTAGTTCTTAATTTGATAGATAGTTAGGTAGAACATATCACAATATTTGGTACTATTTATTCCCAAGTAGTAAATACTGGGTATCCCATTCAGGAACAGATTGTCAATTCTAGGTATTTTAGTAGAGAGAACACTGTTGTGCCAGATAAATCTCATTAGCAGTTCGTTTTTAGTGACTAACGAAATAGCAATAATTAAATTTCTAAATAGTGCAGTAGGTATACTACAGTCTACTACTACAACTACTACAGTTTAGGTATAATACCTACCTTTAAGAACGTACCTACCAATAAGAAAAAGGTGTATTCTATTCACAGTTATGCCTAGAAGTTTTCAATAACAGAAGCTGTTCCGGGTAAACATAATTTGCAAGCTCCCTCCGGTCTCCGCTGTTAGCGTGGGCCGGTGGCCATCGCCGGGTATACACGTTTTTCATTAAAATGCCCACTGGTGAAAGAAACGGAAATTGCCATCCACAAGCCACTACTCACAAGCCGATGTTTTTGCCCTTCGTGAAAAGCTGGACGAATAATTTTATGGAATGAAATGTGTTGGTTAGAACGGGAAATGGAGAAAAGATAGTATCTATACATTGTATAATTGAAATACATAAAAAAATATACATGAAGTTGAACACGATCGGTTTGTCTACATAAAACCTAGTAGGTACTTACTGCTGATGAAAACTGCCTTTCAAGTAACTAGGAAACCCACCATTGAATGTGACTTAGTTACAAATTAAATACTTTATAGAAAGCAATTGGTGTCATGCACACTCGGTATACGAAAGGAGTTACAACAAGCTTGTTGTCAGCCTTTGCGTTACTAGGGATTTAAGGTTAGGGGCTTTAGGGATTGGGAATGGGGGGATATGGTCTACGGTAGCTCTCACGACGAAACAAAATAAAAGTATTGTGTCACGCCGGTATTCTGTGAGGTCGTGATATCACCTTCTTCCTGCAGATCCATTTCATCATATTCCTGCATCATTCAGGATTACTTTTTTTCTTTTCCTCTAGCCTCGTTAATGGCTATAGCAAACCAAGAGATTTAAAAGGTTATCGGCACGAACAGAGTGACCTGCATACTCAATGATTTTCATTGCATCCTTCCGCACTTCGGTTCTGCTGGGCGGGTCCCCCGTCCTTCATTACCAACGTAGGAAATTACCATCCGTCGACAGTGCACTAGTTGCCTTCATGGTATTATCACGTTCGCACTACAGATTTATTTACCATCACCACTCATAAATACTTTTCCGGACAACTATTACTTATTTTTCTCTATTTATTTATAGAGAGATTAATGTTCAGTATTTGTGATTTGCTAATGCTCTATCACGCTAGAACTTATAAAGCATAAACCCATAGGTATTAAGTGTTATTTTCAACTAACTTAACCTTTAAATCTATCAGGAACTAAAAAGATACACGAAAAAAAAAATTGGCATAGTTTTTGTCACATTATACTTAGGTATATCCACGTAAGTATACAACATAGGTATCATAAAACAAAGAATTTTAAAGAAATTGTTACCTTGAACAGGGCTTCCATTAAAGAAGCCTACATGATATGAGACAGAAGAAAATAACTCGAAATAGCTCGTGGGCTTTTAGAGGCAGACAATTAAATTCACAATGTATGGAGACGTGGTGGGAGGGCAAAGGTTTTATTAAGGGCTCTGTAAGTAAATATCTTTTCAAGAAATTATTTAACGTACCTATCTATATATACAAAAAGAATTGGGATACAGGGCCACGTCGCGTCGAGAAACGGTTTTTTCTCAATATTTGTGTTTATTTCCAAACCACAGAAGGTTTGTCTTTTGTATAACTATTATCAATATACCTATGTTCCTTTTTTTGAGGAGGGAAAATCATCAAATTACTTCTCTCACCCAGAGTAATAGAGAGGTACTGTCAGACACTAACTGACTAAAAACCCCCCGTTCCTTCAACTGACCCAGGCTGAGGCCGCGGTACCTTATGAATAATGATTTTAAATTAAGAGCATTTTGAAATGTAACACTTCTAATTCAGGAAACACCGATAATAACGTTTGGACTAAGATAACCTTGTACAATAACAATTAAAAAATTAATACAATTAAATTAATTACCCACAAAGTAAATTAAAGTTGCAAAGGTATTTTATTTATTCCGCATTTTGTTACAAAAATCTCAGAAATACTAATAGAAGGTCATTTTTTGTTGCAGATCCTAAGTGTGGTGAAGACTGAAGACTGGCTTAGAAAGACATCAATTTAAATAAATTAAAATGTAAGTATAAAACTTAATTTAAACATATACTACACAAAAATCCCAAAAAACCTCAATTAGTAGAAGCATTCTACATGACGATGAATGATCCATTAATCGATTCACATTAAAGTGTCAAAATTTTGTAAATGTATTATTTAACACAAAACAAAGTTAAAATAGTTAAACCTCAGAGGATAACATTGGAAGCATAATATCATACTTAATTGGCATTCAAATCCTACATTTTATGCTTAATCTCGGAACTCATTGCTGCCTTAGTATCTGTTCCGACAGAACTAACTAATATTTAGGTCAGATCTCAAATGTAGTTTGGACGGCTTCATGTGGAATGACACAGTTCTCAAGTCTAGTTGGGCAGAGCAGACACTGTAAACGTATGATATTTCTATGCCCTCATACATCGTATACAAAAAGTTCTATCTTCTTTCTTTCTTTCAACGCCACTAAGTTGAAATTCGTTTCAAGATAACGAGATTTGATTAAATATAACACTTAACAACTTCTCAGACTTGTTATATTACTTAGCTTTTAATAATAAAAAACTTTAGTCTAAGATTTCACAACAAAATCAACAAAATTTTCAACATTACTTCAACACGAAGTTAGCTGATTTCGTAAAAGTTCCCTGCGCAAATTCTAATAAAAGGTACTCCTTGAAACGGAGAGCTAAGAGGTTCTGCGAGAATATTATTATTAAATTAATTCCGTTACAGGGCAGGTGTACAAATTCCATTGATACTCCATTAATACTTACTAATGAATTAAGTCAGTAAATGTGACTAAGTGAATATCTCAATCTACTTAAATCTCAGTTTGAAGCTGATCAAAACGTGGAAAGACTGGTGCGACAAAATTAGTTCAGTAGTTACCCTTTAAGACTTATCATATTATCGTATTCAGACACATTTAAAACAGTAAAAACAGCGACAGTTAGCGTTTTATTCCTAACAATTAAAGTTTATGCGCCTATGTGAAGAAAAGTTGTAAACGAATCCTATAACTCGTGTTCAATAAAAGCTGCAAACATGAACGCTCCATTTAGTTCTTGCGGCGAATCAATTAGAACTTCATACACATTACTTACACACTACGGAACTCCGTTACGCACATTAGACACTGCATCGATTACTCACCTTACTGTTATACCAACATCACCAACATATCTGTTCAGGTGGGCAAAATTGGAACAAATAAAAACAGGAACAAATGTTCAGACTAGTGACGCACTCAAGTGCGATATAAGTTGGTCGGTTTATATAGTATGGCTTTAATATGCTGTCTATAAGATCGATTAGAAGACTCATTTCACCTGTCAGATGGACAAATACGTGATCTGCATTACAAGCCGATTATTTAATTGCTCGGATTTAAAGGCATTACGCCTTACTCGTATTGTATCAGGGAAGTAGCAGAGGTGTACAACTAAATTTAACATTTTGTTTGCTAGAGTCAAGAGAAGTGTTTCATACTAATGGCAAACCGAAAGAACGCCTTTTTGCACACCAAACATATATTAAGTACGTTGGAAAAACTAGCTTTCTATATTTAGAAAAACCAATAATAAAAATGGTTAACCATCAATATTCCTCTCAAAGTTACAATACTTATAAAATGCTTATTATGGAACATAAGACCCTAATTCTGACGCCGATATTAGTTTGCTTAGGACTTTGGGAAGATCTGAATACATATTTGGACGGAAAAAGGCTGAACCGCGAAAAAATCATCGTTTAGATTATATTATATTATCTTTCTAGATTTAGTGTTCAGTCAGCGCCATTACCAAAACTTGTTTCGGCTTTAATTAGGGAAAAGAATTGGAGTATTTTTTTAAAAGGTCAAGTCCACTTTAGACTTTTATGGTCGTACCCTGCATACAATACATTAAGTACAGAAAATAAGTTAAATATTAACCTGATAGTTAAACATGTGGAAGGATTCTCAGTATGATTTCGGATTTGGGCAACGTACTAAGTAGGTTACGATTTGATTTACGAAATTCTGAACTTAATAGCAGTTTCTTTAGCATAATACAACAGTAAAATATACAGCAATGATTCTAGGATTACAGGTGTAATAAAAGGCTGGCTTTCTGTCACACGAGTGTTATATTCAATGCAATCAAAAACAACGTCACGTAAATAGGCTTAATGTGTTTGGGAAGTTCTATGGTAAAGCTATTAATTAAATAGGGATGTACCATTACGAGGCACGGTGACCTCCTGTACACTGCAGGGACATGAGCTGCATACGGATTGTCCGGACCTGTTGCACATACCAGGCTGACTAGCGGAACATTGGCTAACTGGACTACATGACTTGCAAACTCAACGTATATGCTCTAAATAAATTCAATGAAATAATGTTCATATCACTATTTTATTATTTTCGCGACGGTACGATTAATTTTTTGGCCGTTGCCTCAGTCGAAAATTGTTCTTTGGAAAATTACATTTTCTAAAAAATATATTAAATAATATTATTAAAAATTGTATAAGAAATGACAATAATTCTGAAGTAGGTCAAAATACAGAAGTTAAAATTGATGCTAATACAGTATTTTCTAGTGTAGGCAAAATACATAGATAAGGATATAAGTCTTTAAGTTGGATTTCGAGGCATGAATACCAAAATGCCGTAGTCATGATGGCCAGTAGGTTAAGGCACTCTGTTCTCGAACTTTAATGATTTAGATATCACTGACATACAAGGAATACTTAATTTAAAATTATGTTTCAGATCCCCAATCCGGCTTAGGCAAGCGTAGTGATTTAATGCTCATACCTTGCAAGAAGCCTTAGCTCGACAGCGGGTAATGATAATACCAAAACAATATGGCTACCATGTGATATTAACAATGACCGCGGTACACCTATTGAATTTTAATTTGTTAACCGTTGCAATATGTGACCGGAATACGCTTTCTTAGTTCAATTAACCTCATTGCTAAATATCTACTTTACATTTGCAGGAACATTCGCAAAAAAGTCTTAAAAGTATATTTTAATACATTTTGGTATTCAGTTACTGAACGTGAAGCTCAATCACGATAAACAAACCGTCGAAATTGTAAGCACAGTGTCTGTTTTGTTGAGCCGGGATTGCGGGGTAAGTGCAATGAGGCACCGCGACCTCGGCCCAGAGCAGGAGAAGAAACAGGGGGGTTTTTAGTCAGTAAGAATCTGCCACTCCCTCCCGCCCGGCCCTGGGCTGGAGAAGTCATTTGATGGTTTTACACACACAAAAAAAAAGTGTGTGTTTTGTAGACTCACCAACTAAAAGCAGCAAAATAAGTATTCCGTCTCCTTCGGGAAATAGGAATAATGTACGTATACGTTCGAGAGCCAATAAATAATAATTTTACTTAAACTATCGTACTATTTATGCACGTGAACATGTTATTATTATATAATAATATTATATAATGTATCTATTATAAAATAGTTAATACAAATCCAACACAACGTTACAATAATCTTTAGAAATACATTGGTAAAAAAATATCAGAGTAAATCCTTGCTTTCCTTTAATTCCATGCTCCAAATCTATAATGTTAATTCTTTTTCCACATCGAATGCTTAAAACTCGGTCAAGACCACGGAATTCTCTTAAGTAGGTCAACGAAAAATGTGTACCATGTTTTGGTAATGTTTACTGTCCAAGAAAACATTTAACAATAAGGAGACTAACGGAATGAAACATGCGGCAAATTTGGCGTACAAAAGCTCTGGATCTGTTACAAAATATATTGAAAAAAATATATTCAACCTATTTGATTATATTGTACTATGCAGGTGTCATAAATCTGTCAAAACCAATACTTATCAAACGTGTATGCATTTATTTGTATTGATCGATCCCAAATTTTTATCTTAGTAGTAATTTTCAAAATATTTTTTTTTGTGAACGGCTTTAAACTTAGTAAGTGGCGCGGATGTAGTGAAGCGTGTTTCCATCTAGGCGTGGTTCAGATCATGCACAGAGAAAGTAAAGGGCCGCCGTCATCGCATCACATGCTTTCTCTTAGTTACGTTGACCCTGCTAATCACACCGTAACATGGACGCCCTAACAACCACTTTTTCGCGTACTGAATAAATCCAAAAGATCATTATCAACTGAATAAGCTATTTAACAGAAAAAAGTAATGGAACATGGGTAACAACAGTTCAGCTTTTACGATAACAAATCACGAATTCTTAAAGACATCGCGGCAACATCTTAAATATAAATGCATACGGTGCTATTGCAAACCATATCCTCAAGAAGACACACTGACCTAAACTTTGTTAGGCACTAAAGTCGACCGAATAAAAACAAAAGTTGCAATACTAGTTTTTCAAGATAGACAGGTCGATACTGGCAACGTTCAAGTCCTACTTGCGATAAATTTGGCCTCGAAATTAAGAGAAGTTAACTTTCGATGTCCTACAACAACTTGAACACCTGTTGATAAGTATTGGAACATTGTACGGAATGTAATGGAAAACATCTTTAGCAATTTAGCTCAAAGGTTGTAAAGTTTTCAGTATCAAATTTAAATTTAACAAAGCCTGCCCACTACACAAAGTTGTGAAGAGCCTGAATAATGATCTGCTTTAAACCATGCTAGGTCGTTGCCCTCACGTTGAAAAGATCAAATTTTATCCACGCAAGGTGTACTCTGCACACCGCACAATATAGCCAACAGTGGAACTGAACAAAACTAGACTTTGTATCGTGATAGTTACGGGTTACGTCAACCGCTGAGAAGCTGGAGCTGAATTATAAGTTTGCTTCATAACCGAGCCGACCCGTGCCTCCGTGCAAAAAGTCGTCGACTCGTCTGCCGCGAATAATTATTAAAAGGGCGCGAGCGATGGCGACATCTTGTCTCGTCTCAATGTGATCCCCTCCCACCTGCCTCCACCTCTTTTACTGTTAGTTAAAACTTAACCTATGACCTAGTCTCTCCCTCAAATTTACCAAAAATAAATTGAAATTAAAACACAAATTATCTTCTTCAAACGTTTAGAAAATTAATCAAGTTTAAGTTCTTAAGTTGAATGACTCACCGCATCAGATTTGGAATGAAAGCTTATGTTCTTTATAATTGTTTCGAAGACGTTTCGAAACTGTGATAAATTGTTTAAAATTAAGTAAGACTTGTCTGAAGGGCATAAGGTTGATCACTTTCTATTGGGCCGCCTTTAGTTTTATTATCGTATCAACTCTATTTTTGTCTATAATGTTACAAATACGGCGATAACCTCCTATAGGCAGTCTTGAAACATAGACAAAGAGTTCTCTTTTATATTAATAGGAAAGCATCATTGTTCCGCCAGACATGTGGCGCAATATATACAAACGAAAATAGAACAAGACAGCTCTAAGGTTATCGTCACATAGATTACTATAGTAAACTACCTCATGCATTACATAGTGACAGTCTGTGACTGGCGACATGCTATCAGAGCTGTATGTCACGGTTATCTAACATTGTATTTTTGTATGTTTCAGAGTGACACAAACATCTCGTGATGGTGCGCTTGGACGACAGTGTAAGATAACCGCCACGCGGTTACGAAGTATGGGTGCTAACATGGGCAAGAACTCGAGCCTGCTCGACGCCCTGCCTACTGCGCAGGGCACGCTGCACGTGGTCATGCTAGGGTTGGACTCTGCAGGCAAGACCACTGCACTCTATCGGCTCAAATTCGACCAGTACCTCAACACCGTCCCCACCATTGGGTTCAACTGCGAAAAAGTCAAAGGCACTCTCGGCAAGTCTAAGGGTGTCAACTTCCTTGTATGGGATGTCGGTGGTCAAGAAAAATTACGGCCCCTATGGAAATCCTACACCAGGTGCACTGATGGCATCATATTTGTTTTAGACTCCGTTGATTTAGAACGAATGGAAGAAGCTAAGATGGAGTTAATACGCACAGCCAAGTCTCCAGACAATACTGGTGTGCCGATCCTTGTTTTAGCGAATAAGCAAGACCTACCCGGGGCAAAGGAGCCTCGCGAGCTGGAGAAACTTTTAGGTTTACATGAGCTAGTGTCATCGCCGCACGGGTCGCGCGACGCGCACGCCTGGCACGTTCAGCCAGCTTGTGCCATCACCGGCGAGGGCCTGCACGAGGGGCTCGAAGCGCTCTATGAGATGATACTCAAGAGAAGAAAGCTCGCCAAGCTGCAAAAAAAACGAGTCAGATAAACTATTTACTGTTGCGTTCAAGTGTTTGTGACAAGTCGGCCGTGCGCTAATAACGGTACGGTTCGTGAACATTAAGTATTTTAAAATGCTCACTGTATGGATGATTTTATAACGTCCGAGATAGAAACACCAAATATTGTTTTACTATAGATGTATAACGTCTTATGAAATATTCCATCATCATGTTGCTCAAGTTATATTGAACATTTTGACGGAAACGAATATTAAAGTAAAATTAACTACTAGTCATTTTCTTTTGAAAATAGCTAGGTGGGAGATAAAGGTAGACTACACTAATCATTAGACATGTCCGTTTGATACGACCACTACTGGCTTATATACATGGTAAATTATAGCTTGTACAAGGCCACTGTATCTGCGGTCAGCCTAAATAATGCAAATCCAACGACGAAATTTTTAGATGGTTTTCATAGTTTGCAATACGTGGCTCACACACAATATTATGTGGGACCATTAGTGTTACAGTATTTAGGTAACGTTGGTGTGTGATGGAGGAACAGGCATTTGGAGGAGAATATAAAATATGTAACTTTCATCTTAATAATTAGTAATGTCTAATGTCTGTGCAAACTCACTAGATTTATTCTTCTGAATGTCATACTATATATTCTATTATATCATGTGTGAACTATCCTTTGTGGTGTTATCAATGGCTAAACTTATTTCTTTTATCGGATTATCTACCTACCTACTGTGTAATATTGACGTTTTTCCCATAATAAACTGATTCTTTACGTTTCGTCAAATGGGCCTTACATCAAATCATTTTGTACGCTTCTATATATCTTTTTAAATGATATAAAAACTCATTACGCTTTGATCCTTCCCCTTGATTTCGTCCTAAATTCTTTGCCCTATTTTTATATTTAGCTAAAAGTAGTAAGTAAAGAATTATGTTTAATGTGATGTCAAATAGGCATTATTACAACGTAATAATGAAGAGGCTTGTACTGGTATTATGTTGGGGGAGCTTCAAGTTTTTGTACATATACAAACGTATTGTAAATACTGTAGGAGAATATGTCATACAAAATAAATTTGATCAATCTATTTGTTTCTGTGTCTCTAATACTACCAAACTATGATGTTCGTGATATCTTTTCCGAATCACTATTTGACAAAACTGTTTTTTTTTCGTCACGATTTTTGAAAATTTCTTTAGCATTTTTACTTTTTGGATTGAAGGAGTATTAAGATTATACTCGTAATATATGGATAAGTTAACGATGTAATTGAAAGACTATTATAGGCCATTGATTGCAAATCGTCATAGCGTTGAAGAAAATTTCAAGTCAAAGCTTTAAACTGATAGACGAAAGTATCATCATTTGTTTGTTTATAAGTTAAATTAGTAACTATTTATTTATTTACTCATACAAGTATAACCTAATGCTAAGACATAATATTCAATGAAGCTTTTACCATTTTGTGTTAGGCACCTACCTTGTAAATATGTAAATTCCATGTAGTTATTTGTCAATACCATGAAACCAAACATTTTATGTGTAGAGCGTGTAAATTTTGTTATCTAATAATATTTGTTTTATTATATCTATATACATACATTGCATATTATTGTATTGTGTTTTATGGAGATACATATACGTTTTTTCATATTGAACCCCGTAATAAACTGTTTTCATGAACATATTGTCTTTTATTTCTGAAATATCGAAAGTTACAGAATGTTACTCTTTCCTACCGGGTCCTACATCGTTGCGTGATATGCGATGCTGTAAGTAGTTATCAGGATCCTCTTTTTCTGTCCAGTCAGTAAATAATGTCAAGTATTCTAATTCAGCCTCCGTAAGACTGTTTCTATATTCCTCGCATTTTGCTTTAGACAACTTCTTTTTTCTCAAACGTGTATTATTGGCAATGTTGAAATTTGCTTGCAACTTAGTTGGTGGCGCGTGAGCACGAAGTAAGGTAAGCTCCAAACGCCTAAACATTCTTAGTTCCTTGGCCGCATCTTTAGCTTGTTTGAATTTTTGTCGTTCTGAGTTAATATACACGGACATAGCGGCTTCAATTTTGTCACCTTTTACCTCATCCAACCGTTTCGAATACTCCATGTAATAATTTTCTAAAGCCTTAGCAGTTCCCACTATGTCCATATTTATGGGCTTTTCATTATATATTTTCTCATAACAAAATTCTAAGTGCAACTGAAATTTCAAAACTTCTGGGGCGCCCACGCAGTCGTAAAAAAATCCGTTGACTATCTTAAAAAATTTTGCCTCCAACTGGGACCGTTGATCCTCACTGAATTGCAATAATTTTTTGAAATCTTTAATTGTAGCAAGAATTCCTGCACTATCCTGAGCAATAATATCTTTAAAAAGTTGTATACCTTTCTTTAAAAAAATTGTGTGAGGTGAAAGTTGAACCACATGCGTAAAGTGATGCAAATGTTGTTGCTCTATCCCGTCAAATAATTCCATTAGATCGCCATGGTGTTTAAAGTATAGAACTGGTTTTGTAAGGCCACTATAACACTCCATTTTCAGCTTTTCAAACATAACACTAAATGTATCCTCGTCCTTGGATATTCCGAAATCAAATCCTTTCTCTTCTATCTCCATAGATCGAGCAAAATGTCTGTTCTTGAACCGCCAACTTGGAGGCGACAAGTAATACAAAAATCTTCCATATTTTTGCTGCAGTCCATACCTGTAATCTAGTCCCACAATCCTCGAGGTGATTGTAAACATTTTTGCAGCAAGACATTGATATTCAAAATTAATCTTATTCACTGCCAATGTCAACTCTTCGCATTTATTGAGGGACACCATAGACTTCATATAGTCAGCCAAAATAAAAGCTTCGAAATATTTAACTTGTTCCGCGTACCTTTGAGTAGATTTATTATAAATTTCCTGTTCTCTCCTGAAATTTGTTTCTATATTTAACATACTATCGTTTCTATAACCACACTCTTGTCTCAACCTTAACTGAAGGTTAAAAGAATATTTAAGGGATTTATAAGGAGCTACGTATCTTGATAAAAAAGTACAATTGAGGCATTGGAAAAATCCAGGATCAAAATCTGTTATAGTCAGAATATCATTGGGTGGGTCATCCATATGTATTCGGCTCCTAATTTCAGCATAAACAGCATTATAACGGTCACATAGTCCCAAACCCAAACGTTTCCGTAATTTTTCCTTTTCTTTTGTCTTCGTATAGAGTACGTAAGGTAAGAAAACTTCATCTTTTTTTAATGTAGCTGATGATAAAGGTTGATTATCAGGTATAAAACATTTTCGGGATACACCGGTAGCATTTCTCAATCTCTTTTTTAAAAATTGTTTGTTGTTTTTACGCTTTACTTTTGCGATATCATCAATTTGTCTTTTTGGTTTTAGTATATTAATGACAACGGAATGTATCTCGTCTTCATACATTTTATACGCATTAAAATAATTAAAAGTATTGTTTTGATGTAAACAAGACCATTAAAAATGGTCAAAACCGACTAGATTATCTGGATTTATTTGTATGTACTTATAATTATAAAACCTATTTTTATGAAATGTACTTTATTATCAAATAATCAATTGAAACTGGTTACAAACAACGAAGGAACACAAAAAGAAATGAATAAATTTTAAAAACAATAATACGTAAACACATGTAAATTGCTAATGTTCTATTGGATTGAATTCTTTTGACTTTTGAGGTTCCCACTCAAATACAGGTTTTGCAAATTCATAGTATTCCTTTAAGAAAGGAGCCGGGTTCATACCTTCACACCACTCTGTAAACAACAGCAAACCCTCACGTTCCTCCATTGATAACTTATATTTCTTAGGCGTCATTCGTTCTCCACTCTGAATTTCATTTTTCTTTTTCTCAGTCGTCTTAAGTCGATACTGCTTTTTTTTGTCTAAAAATTTTTTGATTGGTGGTCGAACAAACTTTGCTGGCGGCCAAAATGCTTTGTTCATAGCATTTGTCATTTCCCTAAAAGCTCTGAGTTCCCTTTGTGCATCATTAGCATTGTGCATCATTTTCAAATCCTGTGCAAAGAAATCATTTTGTGCTTGGCATACAATCTTGAAATCTAACGCGTCCAACCGCAAGTTATAGTCTTCATACATTACTTCAAGAATTTTCAGAGGATCTTGTAAACTATGATGCCCTTCTTCGCATTTTCCAAAAACTTGTTCGTACACGTACTCAATACATATCTTCAATTTTAATGTAGTTTGACTCGCAATGCTGTCATAAAAAGATTCATTTAAAATTCTGAAAAACTTATCGCGCAGATGTTTTTCGTTAAAACTTTCTCTGGATATTTCAAAGTTGATAATATCAATATAATATTGGAAATAATCAGACTCTTGTGCCTGTCCCTGTTTTAACTGTTTCATGCGGTCTCGAAGTAAACGATTAGGACCATCTGTTTTAGAAAGCTGTATTATATACTCTCGAGATTGCAGCTCCATCGAACGGAATAAGTACATCATTTGTTCAGGAGTTTTGAAAAAGAGACTAGCTGGAAGTGGGTTTTTGAGTTCAACTTTAGCCATCTCTACGGTTTTCTCAATATCCATTGATTCAATTAGATCACTATCAGTAGCAAATTCTCCTGATTCAAACTGTATCGACATTGTCTTCCCTCTTAAAGTTTCGTCATTTTGTTGTCGCCAAGACAAAGGCGCTACAAACGTTAAAAAACTTCTGTACGTCTTCAAAATATTTCTTATGGCATCAAGTTTAAACAAAATGTTATTTAAAATCGTCAAACTAGAAACGTACCCAAGAAACTCTGAGTCTTTAGCAAGCAAAGTGTTGTAAACTTTTTCTGCTCGCGCTACTTTATAGCAAGCTTTCTTGTAATCCTCCGTGAGAAAAGTTTGAAAATTTTTTATATGTTGCTTCAATTTATCAAAAATTTTTTCATAATGCTCAGATTCTTCAACGTCGCTTTTTTCAATTTTAAGAATCAAGTCGCGTCGATATCCGATTTGCTGTCGGTTCATAGCGTAAGCTCTAATATTATTCAGATAAACTTTGATATCGTCAAAACACCGCAAAGGACGACCTTCAATCACGGTATAAAACTCAGGATGAATTTCCACAACTGCTCTAACATCATCAGGAGGTTCTTCAACAAACAGTCTTTTAGAGATGTCCCTAGTAGCTGCGATTCTTAAGTTATCTTTAAGATGCAGTGGTTGAGCTAATCTTTCTTTGGCACTTACTTTTTCTTTTCGGTCACTGTACTTTATGTAAGACAACAGCTTCTCAGATTTGGGGATGCGAAAAGGCTTCATCTGCTTTTTTTGCTTCTCATCCTGCTTCACAGCATGTTTACGATTCGTGAAGTAATGTTGTGTATTGGGAACATAACGACGTCTGAATATTATATCTAGAGTTTTCAAGGGAACCATTGGCTTCCGCTTCTTTTCCAAACAACTCATGCTTATAAATTATTTGTAAATTACTACAAAGTTTTATTTATTAGTTTACAAATGAAATATAAATAAAAGTAAAACGAGCTTCTCTAACACCTGTGTCAGTTGATCAGATTGATAGCAAAAAGGAATGACAGTATGCTTCAAAATTTGTCATCGAAGTTGCAGTAGCTTATCATTTACGCCACAAAAAAGGCTTGTAATTAGAGGATTCGATCCCGGTCGATTTTTCTAGTCCCGGGATTTCGGGATTATCGACTGTTAATACCGGGATCCCGGGATAGTCCCGGGATTTTATTGGTAAAGAAAAAGCAATTAAAAAGAAGTAAACATAAATAAATCTTTACTTAAATCTTCAAAAACAAAACAAAATGATTATTTCTTCTAATAAAATTAACAAACTAGGCCCTTATAAAAATTATTGCCTAGTCTGTTTATTTTATATTTTACAATAAACTTAAAAAAATCAACTTCTTATATTTGTATTGATATATATATAGATCAATGTTAATAGGACTACTAATATTTTAAATAAAATAGACCAGGAACTATAATTTACTTATTTAAGCCACGAAAATAAAATCTAAGAAATAACAACGCATCCAACGTCTCATCCGAAAGCATGCTTCTTAATTTGTTGCACAAATATGAAGCAGCGGAAAACGCGCGTTAAGGCTCGATGGAAGTTGGATGAATCGTCAATAAATTTTTATAAGCCTTCTCCAAATTATGACCTCTTGTAGAACTACTGGCAAATTTTGACGTTTAACGTCAAATGAAAGTAAGCGCGTTTCGTTTCACGCACATTTTTAATGAATTATTTAAAAAATGTTTAAGTCCCGAAAATCCCGGGATTCATTGGATTTAATCCCGAGATTTTCGGGACTAAAATATGATCGGGATTCCGGGATCCCGGTTTTCGGGATCCCGGGATCGAATCCTCTACTTGTAATATATAATTAAATGGACTGTTAAATAGATGATGAAAACAGTCACGAAAATATTTTTAGATCAGCATAAATAATAAAAAAGACTTAGTCAATAACTCATCCATGAAGTAGATCGATTCAGATGGAAATATTATGTAGGTGAGGTAGGTGTCTACATAGAGAAATACGATCTACAGAAATACGATATTTAACAACTACTTAAATTCAATATTTTTATTGAAATGTCAAAAACTAAACTATTATATGAATTTGGTGTGGAAAACAAAATGTGAGGTCATCATATTTTTGGGTCAAACAGCATACTTTTTTCTTAAAATGTAACCAATAAACATCTAAAATTAAGTCAAATCCATCAATTAAGTACGATTATTTTTAAATATTTAATTGTACTTTAGTAGATTTCATCTTGAAGGCATTATTATATTGGAATATTTTTGACCGAAGAAAATACCCAATCGTGCTACAAAACGTAACTCAGTAATCAAATACGTAGTTTTGTACTGTGTCGAGGTTGCGGGGCAAGCAAAATAAGGTAACGCGGCCTCAGCCTGGAGAAAGAAAAGGTACAGGTCAGAATTTTAATCAGTAAGAGACTGACACTCCTTTTTGTCATACCCTAGGCGAGAGAAGCCATTTAAAGATTTTCCTTACTTAAAAAAAAAAACAAAGGAATGTATCTGCTTTAATGTGTATGTATATTAGTATAAACTAGGTTTCAATTACGTGGAATATGTGGTATGACTGTCAAAAAGTCATAAAGGTACTTTGACACAAGGTACAGCCGGGAAAGAATTATGACGGTTACTCGTAGATTTTTCTTCTTGTCGGTTCATAGGACGATTTCAAACGCTTTGAAAGTTTATCGACATCCTTCAACAATTTAAAAGCTTCCTTAGCTCGCTTTATTTCTACATGACCATGTTCGTATGTTTCCTTTTCAATTTGCTTTATCATATTTAGATCATATGCAGAAATATTTAAAGTAAGGTTATCGTATTCCCGCTCTAAGGCTAAAGCCATGTCTAAAGAAGCAAATTTCGTTTCGTTTGGTGCTATAAGCTGTTCATAAGCAAATTCTACGTAATTGAAAATCTGTAGGCTCATATCTGATGAAACAATATTCCTTATTTTTTGCTCTAGTATCCTGAAGAAAATTTCCTTAATTTCAGCCTCGCGTTCTTCATTCCATTTGATTGTATGTTGTACTTTGAACAAATAAATACTGAAATCTGGTTGTGAAAAAAACTGTCCTTGAAGTTGTAAATTTTGAACAACTTTAAACACCATTCTTTAAAATAAGGTGATTAATGCAGATGTAAAATGTGTGTCCCATAAAGGGAGCCAGGGTTGCTAAAGCAGAAGAAGGAACGGAGGGGTTTTTAATCAGTAAGATTGACACTTCCACTTGCCTCATCCTGGGCGAAGAAATGTCATTTGATGATTTCCTCTCAAAAAAAGGGAGTAATATAAAATAGACCTGTAGTTCATGCAGTCAATTTTAAAAACATAAGAATTTACTAAAATGTAGTTATAACGTGTTTGCAAAGTTAAACAATAATAAAACATGCTAATTTAATAGAAACATACCTTTTCCTTAATGAAATCTAGTTCTTGGCGTAAAATTATTTTGAAAACATCGAGAGCTTTCAAAAATTTGTTTTTCTCTGAATTAAATTCTGTAGTCAGTAGCAAATAGTTCAAGTTCTGTTTTTCTAATAAATCAAAAATTGTTAATAATTGTTTTGGAGTTTCAAAGTAAAGCAGAGGCATCGGCAAGTCATTCAGTTTCTTCTTAATAGCATCTTCATCAATTTTCACGAAAACATCTGAATCCATCACAAAGATTTCAGAATGATCCTCATCTAACCTTATATTATTGTTATTTTGCCACAAAATCGGGGAAGCTTTGTAGAGGAAATTTTGAAATGATAACAGAATCATTAAAGTTTCATCAATGTACTGTAATTTAGACTTAAGCGAGGACATATCATAGTTAGCTTTCTTATGATTCTCAGTTTGATTAGCCAATTCTTTTGCTAGTGCATCCGACTTCTGCATTATAGCAATCGTTTTATTATTGTCGTCTGCAAGGAATTTATCAAAACTATTCTGGTATTCTTCGAAATGCTTGTAAGCTGTTTCATAAATGTTGCGCTCTGTTTCGATTTCTCTGTCAATTCGTAGAATTTCATCAACTAGGAACCCGTGAAGAGTTCTGTTTAATGCCAAACTTTTAATATGTTTTTTGTACTCGTGAATTGATTTATTCTGTTTTAAAGGCCGTCCTTCGACCAAAGAATAGTAAGCAGGGTCTACATCTACAATCGTTTTAATACCTTCAACGGGTTCAATCGGCGGTAGTTTGATCCCAGCGATAGTTTTTCTCGTTTGTCTTTTGATACGCTTTGCCTTTTTTAATTTATCCATGTTTCACTGTGTAACTCAGGCAACTTTTATTAAGAAACAAATGACACTCGCCGTGATTATGGACGACATTCACCAACTTGTTTGACCACAATCAATATTACTATAGCAACGTGATATAAGTTTACCAATAACGCCCTTTATCATGAGAAGTGAGATAGTTGATGGAAAACACGAAAGATAACCATCAGTCATGTTAGATATTTTCATTTTCAAGATATTGTTGCTATTGCTCTAGGCTCATTTCAACTCAAGTTTTGAATAAAAATGTTTTATGTCCAAAACAGTAAACAAAATAGAAAAGAAATCGGTATCGCTGCTTATATCGTGTATTTTAAATATATCACTAAAAATACTAGAAATTGATAAAACAAATCAATGGAATAGGAATGATATTGTTTAAAATATTTTAATCAGAGGACGATCCCTCGGTTGCGTTCTCGCGTTCCTCCCTATCTTCATCATCTACCTCTTTCTTCACCACTTCCCAAGGCATTACAGGTAGAGGCTCCACGAACGAGTCATCTACCTTCAACTTGTAGAGGAACCGAGGTGTGAATTGAGTTGGTAAAGGCCAAACATCCTCTGCAATGACAACATGAGAAGATAAGAAGAATGTATACATATTATGAAAATATTAACTGACGTGAATGTATTGCCATCCGAATTATCTGATGACACCCACGAAAAAGGGTGTCAAGCGTCTACTTTTCTGTGTCACACATCGAACATCATTCCGTATTATTATTATACCTAAGGTGGGAAATCGACAAAGCAATGGAGCACAAAATATGAAATTTGTACATTTCTAAATGCACCCACGATACAGATGTTAGTGTGGGGCAACGTTTTCTAAAAAAGAAAAAAGGTAAGGTAATGATGAAGGCATCTCACCAAAGTAGAATTTGCAATCATCTACATGACGATGCAAAGCCGCGGTCTCACGAAGCGGAAGAATGTGAGGAGATTGTAGCAAGAAGTCGATCAGTGCAACTTCAGGCAGAGCTTCCATCTTGGGATCCATTACCCTTAATCCCTCGAAAGATAACTGCAAACGTAATTTCATGGTACCTAAAGTATTTTTAATCAAGGATGTTAAAGACTTACGGTTCCAATAAAACGGACTATACGGAATAGAGAGGCGACGTGCTGAGCCGCGATTAACCAATGATAGGGTTTATCATCCTCATAGCCTCATACACCTGCCTCTTTAAAGCAAGAAGAGCGATTATTTGCGATATTTTTTAAATAAAAGAAACAGGCTAGATATGTCTAGCGCCGAAAGAGGCGCTTCATTTCAGTCATCGTCTTTGTTCCTACAACGTGACTGAGGCCCGTATTAAAGCGGATATTATGAGAATATAAAAGCAGAGAACAGTGCTCCCCACTGACGCTGAGGGAAGAGGAGTTATGTTAATAATGAAATTGTAGCTTTATGTTCTCCGCTTTAGTGGAGCCTGAGCCTTATCAATTCCTTTACTTAACCAGATAATACTTACTAATGGAAAGTACAAACATTTTTCTTGTAGGTACTTATATTGCCAATCAAAGTATCTATTAAGTATACAACAGTAAATTTAAAACCTACTTTGTCGTCAGCTTTAGCGAAGGCACATATTTTAGTGATCTTGTTAAGGAAGATGCGAAGTTGCTCAAAATGTTCTTGCAGGGGTCCAAACAAATCCAATTTGCCTACGAGTGATGGTGGTCTTGCTGTCACTGCACGCCAACTGTTAAATTGTAACTGGAAAAACATAGGCAGACATGTTTTATGGATAGTGTGCTAATATAAGTATTTTATTCTATCCTTTCACGCCACCACAGGGTCCCGGACTTTTGGAAGGCGTACGAGGAGCCGAAGCCAACTCGCAGAGACCCGTTGAACAGTTTTAATCTAAATGTGATGGGACATCAGCCGGTAATTATCATACCAAGGACAATCCCCGGTTGATGCAAGACTATTGTGAAATGTGGCAAAAATTGATAGGGTTATGAATATGGGTTGCTATGGACTGGTGGATATGATAACTATGGAAAATATTTTTATTATTATTATTTTAAATGTTTTTTTTATTTAGCATAAACATTAACACTTATGGAAATTCTTACTTAATAGAGGGTTGTTGTCGATTGATGATTTTACAAATAAAAAAAAATTAAATCTGGACTTTAAATTACCGTGCGCACGGAGTGGTATGTCATCACTGTTTTCAAGCGTTTAAACATTATCCTTTCGGGTTCTTCTGTTTCCGTATCCTCTTTCATTAAGACATTCAAACCTTCGTTGTCATTATCGAAATTAACAGTTTGGTCCAAGTTAGACATATTGGCTTTCCAATTAGCCTCTCGTCTGAATAAAAATCTTAAATGCCTGTGAATTGTGTCCTCGGAGCCCTTAAAAGGTGCGTAAGAAAATGTATGAATTAGAGTTAAAAAACGATTTCATTAAACATTTGCTTTATCGAATGTAGACAAGTAATATACATAGAGTACTTGCCTATATTATATATTCTTATATCTGCTTACAGATAGATATATAGATAATTTAAGACATTTGTTTGTTGTTGGTCAGATGGCTATTATTATTTTAATATAAGTACTTAATTGCAGGTTCTTAGGTAGGTAGTCTTAAAATCTTTCTTAAAAATATTATGTACTAATTCAAAAGTATAGTTACTTACCTACCTATATATACAAACTAAAAATAAGAAGGCATATCTTTTTCTTTTATTAAATATATGTGTATCTAGTGATAGCATTCGTGATTTAAACTCTTTTCTAATGTGGAAAAATCCCTACTCTCCCAGGATAAATAGGTAAGGAAGGAGACTTTCAGGTGATTCAAAGCACTTACCTCAACGATATGAACAAAATAACTATCGTACACAAGTAAAAATCCATAGACGTTGATTTCACAATAACTCGAGTTCACAATTTCAATCGTTTTCGAAAAATGGTGAATAATTTCCTCTTTCGGTAGTGCATGCTCGCCAATGTAAATCATACGGATAGCGTAAGCTTTCTGAAAACAATAGCTACCCACGTAATCAATGATCGGTTATTTTGAATCCATTTTTATTATTATTAATAAAAAACAGATGGGAAGTCAACTACCTAGGTAACAACTTATCTATCTATAGGTTATAAGGAAGTAAGTATTATCTCGTACTGTAAACAATTATAGGGAGATAATATAGGTAGGTAAATATAATTAGAGCATTGTTTCTCGATCGTGGTATCAGAATACATATCAATAAATATAAGTAGATATATCATAATAGATCACGACTCACCAAGCCAAGCTTACGGAAGTTGTCCTCCACAACATTTAAGACGGTTTTAGTATCGAGTTCGGGTAAAGTTATGTTTTTATTCATAGTGTGCGATATATTTACGTATTTATTATTATACTAATTTACATCAAATCTTGTTTAGCAGCTTGTCAATATTAAGACGCTGTTAAACGTCAGCTCGTTTCCATGGTAATAAACCGTCAGTCACCCGCAAATCAGTGTAACTACCCATTTGAACTAAATATGAAAACAGCTCTTATGTCGTAGAAAATAGAGGCGGTCTCAAGGTCAGTGTGTTCACTGATGTGACTGTACCTACGTAGTACTATATACGTATCTACCTAAGTATTGAAAACTTCTTGATTCCATAGGTACTTACATCAAGCAATATCATTCCGACCTCATTAGTTTATTATTTCTTTTATGCGAATTCAAGGAAAGAAAAACCTATTTGTCGAGTTTCCATTTGCACAGTTCAGCAAGGCTTACTATGTTCAACAGCGGGCGACTTGTGAAGTTGTGGCCGACTATGGTGTTCGAAATGATAACGACGGATAATGGTGATCTAATGCTAGGTAGACACTATGCATCGATGATAGAAACAGAACTTGGTTTACGTATCGTGAGTCATACAAAATGTAAGTATTCATAAAAAAAGACTTAAGTACTCATGTAAATTAACTGAGAAAAGTCCTACTAGTTTAATTACATCGGGTCTCCTATTCATGAGCATATCGTGCGCTCCACGGCGCCAACGCGCAAGCAACTGTTGCCAACGTGGAGCATTTATCAGTTCATTCAAGTAAGAAGACCGTTATTTTCAATAAATCGCATTATGCTTTTATTATTTTGGTTTTAATTTGCAACTGTATTATGCATCAAAGAATGAATATTTGTCAAATTTATGATTTTATATGGTTTACTCTATATAAAAACAATAGCAGAAAAGCAGCGGATGACCAGATAGTAAACTATCAGTGCCGCCTATGGATTGAGAGGTTAATAGAGGACGGAATTATGGTAGGTATCTCTTGTAACCTCAATCACACGCCGAAACACAACGCAAGTGTTGTTTCAGACCTGCTTTCCGTGTAACCGTAGTATCACTTCGGCTGAGCCGACCCATCAGTGCCGAGTGAGTGAGCATAGCGTAGCTTCCCCTCGGAAGGCAAGTATAAAATAAAATACCAAAATAGCAATAACAACATCATATTGCACTACAAACTATAACACAGGTTATAAGTACATCTACAATTACTACTAAATAAATATTTACACATAATCATCATCATATCTCTTTGATTTAAAACTTTTGAATTTGTTGAATCTATTGCTTTGACCATACTGGAAGTTACTTCTGTTGTTTTGTCTATATTGGTAGTTATTTTGCCTTGGTCTCCACTTTGCCTGTTTTTCTTTAATTTTCGATACATCGTGTGAACGAGCAAGGTCGTCTAACTCTTGTGGAATTTCCTGAAACAAATAAATTTGTTTGTTGTATGCATTTATTAAGCATCTAAAAAAATTTAGTTCTGTTACATGACATGATACGCCATTTATTTTAGATAGCAATAAGCGAAAGTGCGCGTGTTTAGTACAGACTTATCACTGATACTCAGAATACAGAACAAACCAGAAGGCGTCATCGCGCTTCAAACTGAAGCAACTAAAACCACTCATAACTAGAGTAGTATGAAATTTCTACGATCAGTCAATTTTGGCACGCACGGCAGACAAATTGTGACGTATTTACGAGTATCAATTTTAATTTCATAACGCCGTCTTGTGTTATTACTACGAGTAAAAATGCGGCTTGAATTACGAAAAAAGTGGATAAGATTACATTTCATCTGCAAGCATCGACTGCAATAGTATATTTAATTAATTATTGATTTTTTTTTATCGATTTATTTTTCTATGAAAATGATGCGGCCATTTTGTGGGTGTTGTCATTTTTGGTGAAAATTTTACCCACTTATTTATTTGTTGTGGGTTATATTTTTGTCCATTGTGGAGCCTATGTCATATTAGTTTCCCTGACGACTAACAAAAATCATACAAAGGGCGCGGTTAGATTAATTTCGGAAACCATCTAGCCAGAGCATAGTTTGCTCAATTCACCTTGAAGACAAATTATTTATGACAATATTAATTTAAATTATGACAATACATATTAAAAAAACTAAACCAGCAAAAAACGCAATAAAACCTTTGTACTTATTGAAGCTTTGTTTTATTTGTTGTGTATAGTAGGTGTAACTAAAATTAACACAGTCAGAAATCGTTAACTTTTATGATACCTCTTTGAAATGTGTGAACAACTAGTCTGTTGAATTTTTCGTAAGTTTACCTATTTTGTTGGGTTTACCCATATCTTACCCTCCAGTTGTAAAATTACCCCAAACCAAGGGAATTGTTCCACTGTCGGCAACACTACGCGGGTGGGAAGTGCGGCTGGCGGGGGGATTGACGTATTGTTTTTGGACACATTTGACGACATGTAATTATGAGTAACGCGGCTTCTGGTTTGTTCTGTATTCTGAGCACTGATAGTAGAAAAATAATAGGCAGAAACCAAAGGCAGGCGGCACCTATTGCCGTATTGAAAAAAAATCCAAATCTGAGAACAATATAATAATATCCAAAGCTTAATACCTGGTTAGCTTCTTTGAGTACTTCAATTAGACTGCTTGCTTGTCTAGCGTTCTCGTCAGTGAGTATAGTGTGAGAAACCCCTTTGTTGTCGTGGCGACCAGTACGGCCTATTCTATGGATGTAGTCTTCAGATGTATTTGGGAAATCATAATTGATCACATGGGTTACACCATCCACATCTAGAGAAGTACAAAAAAAATATTTACCATTACTGTGATCACTCACAATCAAAGAAATTAAATAGTTGATACTTTCAATATTCCTTATTTACTCACCAAGTCCTCGAGCAGCAACATCAGTTGCAACTAAGATATTTGCACGGCCACTTTTAAATTTGTTTATAATTTTGTCCCTCTGTGCCTGAGTCTTATCGCCATGAATCCCATCTGCTGGCCAACCATTTCTCCTGAGAGTGAGAGCCAGGGTATCCACAAACTTCTTAGTGTTAGCAAAAATCAATAATTTTCCAAATCCTTGGCCAGTAATTTCATGCATTATAGATTTAAACCTGAAAAATAAAAAAATACTAAATGCAACTTCCAAGTATCACATAATTGGCAAGGTATAAAAGAAATGCAAGATGCTTACAAGCTCATTTTGTCATCAGTGTCACATATATGAACATGTTGCTTTATGTTGTGGTTTGCCGACAGTTCAGTGGACCCCACATTAACTTGAACAAACTCTCCCAAGTAGTCTTTAGCTAGATGTCTCACTTCTTTAGGCCATGTGGCAGAAAACATCAAAATTTGTCTTTCAAGAGGAACTCCTTCTAGAGCTTGGCGAATTTGAGGTTCAAAACCCATATCTAACATTCTATCAGCTTCATCTAATACAATATAAGTAGATCGACTCAATGAGACAGTTTTGCTCACAATAAAGTCATTTAATCTGCCAGGAGTAGCAATAAGTATATCAACTCCTTCTTGAAGTTTGCTAGCTTGAACAGCACGACTGGCCCCACCATAAACACAAAGTGTTCTAACATTCATAGATTTTTCAAAATCTTTTGCCACCTGTTCTATTTGTCGAGCTAGTTCCCTTGTTGGTGCAAGGACCAGGACAATAGGCCCTAAGCCTTTCCTTGCTTTTTTCTCCTTAATGTGGACAACAGCTGGTAACAAGTATGCTAATGTTTTGCCAGTGCCAGTTTGTGCAATTCCCACAAAATTCTGCCCACTCAAAGCAATAGGCCATCCTTGTGATTGAATAATGGTTGGTTTATCAAAACCCTGATCTTTTAAAAATGACTTGATGTATTCTGGGAATTCACTCTTCTCTAGTTCTATGTATGGGTTAGGTATATCCTCTCCAATACATGTAATATTGTGTTCATTGCGATAATTGTCTACTTCATTCTGATGTGCTGCTTTGATAGAATAAAACTTTTGAGTGTATTTTGTTTTATTTTTGAATTGTCTTAAAAGATGCTCATGGCTATCTGTTGAAAATGATATACAGGTGTTGTTCAGTAAGGTGACTGAAGCAACTTCTGCACCAGTCAGTTTAGTGCCTTCTGATAATCTGGAAAGTAAATCAGTTGTAAATATGTTTATCAATAAGTTAATTTAATACAATGCAGATGTAAATGTGAATATTTTAAATAAAGAAATGTAAACAATTAGATAATTGTTCTTATCTTATAAAACTGCCCATTGTTATTCATTTTACTTTTAAACATTAAAATAAACAGTGCATCACGTAGTCTTAGGGGCAGAGTGCAATCTAGTATGTAGTAAATAAAATCTTTTTTTTAACGTAAATCTTTAATTGCCTGATTGCGATAGGTACTTATGTAATTAAGTAAAAATAAAAAAGTTATTTTAGATTAAAGACTTGTCTGGTATAACTATTTCAGGGAACAATCAATGCGAGATTGCGAGCATGTGACTTTGTTGGCAGTGAAATTAAAATAGTTTGGACTTACATTTTACGTAAACTTCTGCGAGACAGGAGCCTTGGCAGTATATTCAGAGCCATTTTAGGTTGAACTCATTTATTTCTGGTATATTTCTAAAATATTGTCCTCTTCAATTTAGTTCTTGATTTTGCAATTTTTGAGGTTAGAATGCAGTGATACTATTTCACGATCTTCTGTTGAAATTTGTTTGAATGTGAGATATCGTGCGTATTTTCAAATTTCAAATGTATTCAAATGAATCAAAAATTTTAAATCCCGAATAGCACTTACAATCACAGGCATGCAATACCCGTATTATGTACCTATTAGCAAACATGAGAAATTGACTTTTGCTTAAATGACATTGACAAAGTCAATAAAAGACATTTCTTTTTTTTAATATCATAGATCTAATACCAACTTCTTCAAAACTCATTATACAAATGTAAATCATTTATAGTTTCCTTACAGATCAAATATAGAGAGGGAAACACGATGGGATGGCGTCGAGGCGACTTCAAAACATAAGACGAAGGAAGGCGTCTGCGTCTGTAACACAGTTTATACTAGCACAGACACAGTCGTTAACTCTGTCTCAAAAATACTTTGTTCCTACCTAATAAAATACAACAGTTGAGTTTGAGTTGAGAGACAAATTGTAGTTGGCTTTCTAAGATTATTGAAATCGCCAACCCGCATTGAGCAAGCATGGTGATTAATGCTCTAAACCTTCTCCGTGTGAGAAGAGGCTTTACTCAGCAGTGGGCACTTATAGGCTGATGATGATGATGAAATACTTAATGTATAAACCTGACATACTCAACCTGCGGCCCGTGGGCCGCATGTGGCCCGCCGGGCCTTTGTCAGTGGCCCGCGTGCAATTAAAGATAATTGTAAGCTATTTTGACTGTCGCGCCCATTCATTCATGCAATGAATGGGCGAAATGGTCTTTGCGAAATAAGGAAAGCACTCAAATAAAGTTTCTTCCTATGTGTAGAAGATAGATCAGCTTTAAAGCAATTAACCCTCTCAGATTTACTCAGTAGTCATATGTAGGTATTTATTTTCTTTTACGGGTAAGTATTCATTCAATAGAACTTTTAGAAACATCGACTATTGTCAGCATAATTATTATCTTGCTGATTGCTGAATGGCTGATTTTTCAATGGTGAGATAAAAGTTGCCTGTGGAATAATTACGATGCTGTCGCGTCAGAATGTTTGTTTAAAACAGTGACAGCAACAATTTTATTAGATATGTAGGTATAGATAACATTAAAGAGTCAGAATTTTAATCATTGACATAGGAAATATATGGACTTGAAATACCTACGAAAAAAAGGTGCCTACCTACAATCCAAAATGTCGCATAAGATGGCTGCCGTTGCTAGGGTTGTGCCGACTAAGTATTTAACGAGTATCGATACAATTTGAGTAAAAGTTCTACGAAGGTATAGTTTTAGGGATTAGCCAGCTGATTAACGGTATTTTTTTATGGGAAATCATCTAATGTCATCTCCGGCCTTTTTCGTGACAGACCGTTACTGACTAAAATCAACTCCTGTTCCTACTTTGCCGTCGGCCTAGCCTAGCTAGAGCCCGGAACCCGGGGTTAACTTGGTCTCTTGATTGGCTAATGATTTTCTCAAGTCGAATTTGTATTCATATAATTCTACGTAAAGCGTCTTTTAAAAAAATAGGACTATGAACAGCGTTTAATAGAATGGTGAAATAGAAAAAGATAGTGTTTGTTAAATGTTTATCTTTATATATGTGGAAAACCTGTGGGTATTTGTGAAGTGCTCGCGCACAATTTCGGCGCGTCTGATTAAGCGATGATATCTTCGAAACTACGTTAGCACAAAATAGATATGTAGTGAAGTCAATCTTATTGTATGTATCTCACTTTTTATTATTACGCTTGGTGGTCGCACTGGGATCGTCGCCAACGCCGCTCTGTCAATCGCGCCCGTATAATTATAAAACGTGAAAATACCAAAATACTAACGTCTTACTTTAGCGTTACACAAAACTGCGGAAACATCCATTGTTAAAATAGGTTATTTAGTATAATATATGTTGAATTTTAAATGGGAGATTATATCGATACTTTTGTGAAATGGTACGTAACTATGCCATATTGACATATTATTGTAAACAACAATTTTTTACTAAAACTGTCTCACAGACAGAAATAAAAGTAAATATATATACTTTGGCAATAGATTAAAGTATCCGTGACATTTTTTTCTATCCATGTGGATTATTCTAAGTAATATTTGATGAAAACTGTTTACTAACCTATACAAAGACAATTGAGGTTGATTTTCGTTCTTTTTTGCACCACACTGCACAATACAACACACAGGCATATTGTTTTTTTATTTCACTATATATATTTGAAGTTTAAAAAAATTGTTCTTTGTAATTTACTGAAAAACCGCAATAATTTAAAACATAAACAACCGTTTGACAGGACAACTACCATGAAACTCAGGTACTCTGAGCGCTTAAGATGGTGGACATGGCACTTACCTACAACTTTGCTAATGTGAAAATGATTTGTTTCCATATTAAGCAACAACTTAAATATTGTTGTCCCTTTTGTCTAATACAATTATTGCCTTAGAAAGAGTGAGAAAAAATGATATTTCATAGTTTGTTTCATATTTCCCTCATATTTGTATAAGCATGTATACTTCTATAGTAACACGGCGCCTCTATATATTTTCTATCTCAATGATTTTAATTCGATTCCTGATTTGACATGACCTGCTGTCATTTTGTGAAATAATGATACCACATATAACAGTGTAGTGATGAACACAAAAATCGATAAACAATCAGTGAATCGGATCCAGGAAGGCATTCAAAAAATTACGGCTACCGAATGTTCTAAATGCGTAACCCATTTTGTCAAAGAAGAGAAAAAAATGAGTAAGCTAAATATGTTGATTGACAATAAATATCACAGACACAATTCATAATAAATGTTACAGAAAGTAAAAACGATAGCTATAGCAATGACGGCGACAATTTATAAAATGTCTGTTTTATTTGTCATGTTCCTTCATGATCACATTTTTTATTAATTTCACACACAATTACAAAAGAAAAGTCAGATCGTTAATTAATTGTCAAAACTAAATTATCGGTTCAGAAATATTTTATTTCCTGATAAACTTAGTTTACGATAGTAAATTTATAAACGAGAGCAATCGATTCAGAAATATTCGATTTCCATATGGAATAATTTCGCAACGTCACTATTTAGTACGTGTCATAACGTTGCAACCCTGAAATCTGGAATGGAATTAACACGGAATAGAAAATACAGTGGAAGTGCCCCTCAGACATCGCGCGCTAACCAACATGATGACTAGATATACAACATTTTGGCACATTTGTTGTCAGAATCGTTCGATCCGTTGTCATGATTGGTTGTCATGGTTGTCTCTAAGAAACACGAAATATATTAGAAATTATGCCTTGTTGTGCGGTTTTTAACTGCAAAAAAGTAAGCAGAAAAAAAGATGAGTCTTGTGGTGGTGTATCGTATCATCTTTGAGTATTAACCTTTGTTAATTTAAAATATATTAGATTTTAATGTAAATATCACATTTCATTACTTCAATGCAAACTATAAAGGGCCTTATTTTCATTACAATTAAGTTTAAATCTACTTGTTCGTTATGTGACGTTATATACAATACATTCTAGTAGTTTCGACGCTACTCATTTAGGGATGCGACATATTCGTAAAATAGGTTCATATCGATAATTTTTCATCATCATCGTTCAGAAAATTGATTTTTGACAATTTTTGTGTATAATTCATAAATGTTTAACTAAGATTGCATAGACACATCAACGTTTTAACCACACACAGCGTGCATCCGTCTGTGGCAGGTGCGGGTGGTTAATCACCATTTTTATTTTATAACTAGTTTTCGCCAGCGGCTTCGCCCGCGTGCTGTGTTGATAAAAAGCAGCAAATAGCAAGAGAACAAAATCTAAGTATACATAAAATTTGGTATTTATCGTCTCATTTTTATACATCTCCAATGGGTAAATACCCTATTACTTACTAAGTCTCCGCAGTCCGTCCGTCAATAGATAGAAAGGTACGGATCTAACTAATAGGTAAGAGTTACAAATATTTGATAAAACCTATATTATATTATATTTTATACCGCATCGTGTCGAGCACGGCAACCGCTACACAAAAATAATTCTTATACCATGATTCAGTGTTCACTTGCGACGGCGCTATGTCTTATTATCCGAATTGCTAAGCTATCAGGAGTTACACGTGCTATTGTGAGTTAACCATAAAAGATAGACATATGCTGTATAACATTTTTTTTTAAATTTTATTTAAAATATTTCCGTCATACATAACTTCTATGTAAGTTTTAAGACTGAAACTTACAAAAGGGAGTAACTTCTCCCGTTTTCCCAACATTTTCCTTCACTGCTCTGCTCCTATTATTTGTAGCGTGATGAAAAGTATCCTATAACCTGCCCAGGAGTATAAAGAATAATTGTACCAAGTTTTGTTAAAATCCGTCGAGTAATTTTTGTTTCTATAAAGAACATTCAGACTGACAGACAGACAGACAGACAAAATTTTTACTGATTGCATTTTTGGCATCAGTATCGATCACTAATCACCCCCTGGTAGTTATTTTGAAAATATATTTAATGTACAGAATTGACCCCTCTACAGATTTATTATAAGTATAAATGTTGTACATGATTTTTCTCAGAGTTCCAAAAAGGAGAGTGACTCTCAATTCGACTGTAACATTTTTTTTTTTTTTTTTTCGTCTCCGTTATTTATGAACCGATTTTAATGATTATATTTTAGGAAAGGAGATAAAACTGGTAGGAGCGCGTAGTGCTTTTATATGTTAAAATCGAAATCTTTGATGAACATGTTGAGAAAAGCTCTACTAGTTTCGAACCACAGAGGGGTCCTTCCTCATGAGCAGCGTGCGGGGACGCGGCGACGTCGCCGCGTCCCCGCATAATTTAGTATGTCTCACGATAGTTATTATAAAAACATCTCCAAAAAACATTAAATCTTCAAAAAATATGTTAATATTTTTCTTTTTTTTTATTAGAACCTTTTTCATTACTGATCATTTGTAGGTATATCGTGTCGATAAATTATATTGCTCACACGAATACAAAAACATCGATATATTGGGATACCCTGCCCTATCTGAGTAGCAAAATAGTAAATGTCTATTGGTACAAGTGCATACAAATATGACATCTATTTCAAAGAAGTTAGCGTTTTGAATAGAATGAATTTGTTACAGCGCCATCTAGCGTTGAGTGGCTGAACCCGTTTGTAAATTGTTTTATTTAAGTTTTTTACACGATAGACGCCTTTATTGATTGTGACATGTGAAATGATAACAACTTTCGCTCATTGTTATAAGACTCAATTTTTTACAACATTTAGAAGATGATTTGCTAAAGTTGCGTTTCATGTTTTTACCCAATTATATAGCTGTTTTTTATGTGTGTAATGGACAATTTGATTTGCGAATGTGTGATTTTGGCGACACTGGTTTTCCTTTTGAAAGAGTGTAGGGGCACTTCTACTTAATTTTCTGTTCTGTGGGAATTAAAATTCCAAGTACCTACCTAAAATCAGCCCTTAAATAGCAAAATACTACCTACTTAAATCTGATTTTTATTTATAATTTATTTACGTTAACGCTCTTTGCCCACCGTACACCTCGTGAAACCACCTAGGTGTGCAGCGGGAAGTTTTTTTTCCTACAGTTCACCTTGGTTCACCTGCGTGTACCGTGGGAAATATAAAATTTCCTCCATCCACTTTATTATCAAAACTATATCCGAAGAGCAGAGATTAATGATTAAAACATATTATGCA